CCCCCACCCCGGTGTGATTGTTTTTTTGGGCTGGTTTAAAGCGATTCTGGGGGAATGAGGAATCGAATTGTGCGCTGGAACGACCCGAGCACACGCTCGGGAGGCAATTTGCAAACGCCCATAAAATGGTCAAATGAAATCAATTTCCTCGGGAGCGAGGCTGCTCGCTGCCGCTGATTGAGGACCATTTCCATGCCTAATTGGGGCTTTTCCATGCCACAGCCCGGGTTAGAGATTTAAAAAAAAGATATATAGTAAAAAAAAAATATAGGAAAAAAAAAATAGAATATAAAATAGCGGCTTGTGGGACTTTTCTACTGGGAATCCTCTCGCTTGGGGGTGTCAGAAGCGGCTGCCAGGATGTGGCTGGGAGCTCTGGACTCTGAAATGGGAAAACTGGTCCTTGCTGGGAGGGTCCTGCCCCTGTACTGGGGGGTACTGGTGCCGCTTTTCCTCCCGCCGCCGTCTCTCCCACCCCGCCATGCGTCGCTGGTGCTGGAAACCACCCTTTTTGTCCCCAAACCTGGTTTGTATTCTCTCCGTCAGGAAGGAGCCACCGGCCCCGGTCACCCCGTCCCCTCTGGGGATGGGGCCAGCCCCACCAGAGCCCCTGGGTCCTGCCCACCTCGTGCTGGTGCTGGGGTTCCATCTCCATGTCCCCAGCTGTCCCCAAGGCTGGTGGCTGCTCTCTGTGTCCCCTCTGCCCAGCCCCGAGGTGCTGGGGTTCCATCCCCATGTCCCCGAGGCTGGTGGCTGCTCTCTGTGTCCCTCGTGCTGGTGCTGGGGTTCCATCCCCGTGTCCCCAGCTGTCCCCAAGGCTGGTGGCTGCTCTCTGTGTCCCCTCTGCCCAGCCCCGAGGTGCTGGGGTTCCATCCCCATGTCCCCAGCTGTCCCCAAGGCTGGGGACAGCTCTCTGTGTCCCCTGTGCCCAGTCCTGAGTTGCTGGGGTTCCATTTCCACGTCCCCAGCTGTCCCCAAGGCTGGTGACAGCTCTCTGTGTCCACCGTGCTGATGTTGGGGTGCCATCCCCATGTCCCCAGCAGTCCCCAAGGCTGGTGACACCTCTCTGTGTCCCTCATGCTGGTGCTGGGGTGCCATTCCCATGTCCCCAGCTGTCCCCAAGGCTGGTGGCTGCTCTCTGTGTCCCCTATGCCCAGTCCCGAGTTGCTGGGGTTCCATCTCCATGTCCCCATCTGTCCCCAAGGCTGGTGGTTGGTCTCTGTGTCCCTTGTGCTGGTGCTGGGGTTCCATCCCCATGTCCCCAGCTGTCCCCAAGGCTGGTGACAGCTCTCTGTGTCCCCTGTGCTGGTGCTGGGGTTCCATCCCCATGTCCCCATCCATCCCTAAGGCTGGTGACAGCTCTCTGTGTCCCCCGTGTCCCCACAACTGGGTCCAGGTGTATTTTGCCATGCCGAGGAGGAGGATGAGGGTCCTCCCTTCCTCCCCGTCCCCCCCCGGCATGCAGCATCGACACCCCCAGAGTGGGGGGCAGCAGGGGGGACAGGCAGGAGCCGTGGGGTCACGGTGGGCAGCAGGAGGAGGGGAGGTGGGCAGCAGCCAGCTGGCACCATCCCCGTGCCCAAAGTGGCTGGTCAGGAGCCAGTGGCCACCAGAAATAAGAGCAACAAGCCGACGGGTGCCTCCAGCCTCCCTCTTTAAAGCCCCCCCGGAGCCGTGGGGCACACGCTGGGCTCCTGCCTTCCCCCTCAGGGTAGCCCAGGGGGCCGGGTGCCCGCTCCCCTTTGGATGCCACCTCCTCGCCTTTCGAAAGATTTCCTTTGTCAGCTCCACGTTTTTCACTTCAGATTAATTTGATTGAGAGGGGAAGCGATAGAAAAAAAAAAAAAAAAAAATTAAAAAAAAAAAAAAAAGCCCCAAATCTCCTTTCCCTTAATGATCAAAACAGTCCCCGGAGGTTGGCGGCGTGTCCTGATGAGAAGTGACAGCCTGGCACGGGGTGGCTCGCCCTTGCCTTCTCGCGGCTCGCTGTCACCATCAATCTTGGCGGCAAAATCCCTCTTTCGCCCACCCCCTTTTTTCTTTTCTTTTTTGGTTTTTTTTCCATTTTTTTTTAAAACTCTACTTTTAAAGCCCACCCCGGCAGAGCTGGGACTTCTGAGAGCTGTCTGCTCGCGGGGAGATCAAACGAAATAGGGGGGGGGTGAGGTGAGGGGGGGCTGGCAGCGATGCCGGCGGCACGGCTCCGGCTCTGAAGGTGTTTTGGGGGTGTCTTGGGGAGTCCTGCCTCTTTTGGGGTGCCCTGCCTGCCCTGGGGTGCCCTGCCTGCCCTGGGAGCCCCTGCTTGTTTTGGGGTGTCCTGTCCTGAGAATCCCTGCCTGCCCTGGGGAACCCTGCCAAATTTGGGGAGCCCTACCTGCCCCAGCGTGTCCTGCCTATTTTGGGGAGCCCTGTGTGCCTCAGGGTGTCCTGCCTGTTTTGGGGTGCTCTGCCTGCCCTGGGGACCTCTGCCCATTTTGGGGTGCCCTGCCTGCCCTGGCAATCACTGCTTGTTTTGGGGTGCCCTGTCCTGAGAACCCCTGCCTGCCCTGGGCACCCGTGCCAAATCTGGGGAGCCCTGCCTGTTTTGGGGTGCCCTGCCTGCCCCAGGGACCCCTGCCTGCCCCGGGGACCCCTGCCCATTTTGGGGACCCCTACCTGCCCCAGGGTGTCCTGCCTGTTTTGGGGTGCCCTGCTTGCCCTGGGGACCCCTGCTTGTTTTGGGGTGCCCTGTCCTGAGAACCCCTGCCTGCCCCGGGGATCCCTGCCAAATTTGGGGAGCCTTGCCTGCCCCAGGGTGTCCTGTCTGTTTTGGGGTGCCTGTCCTGAAACCCCTGCCTGCCCTGGGGACCCCTGCCAAATTTGGGGTGCCCTGCCTGCCCCAGGGTGTCTTGCCTGTTTTGGGGTGCCCTGCCTGCCCTGGGGTGCCCTGCCTGCCCTGGGAACCCCTGCTTGTTTTGGGGTGCCCTATCCTGAGAACCCCTGCCTGCCCTGGGGACCCCTGCCAAATCTGGGGAGCCCTGCCTGTTTTGGGGTGCCCTGCCTGCCCTGGGGACCCCTGCCAAATTTGGGGAGCCCTGCCTGCCTCAGGGTGTCCTGTCTGTTTTGGGGTGCCTGTCCTGAGAATCCCTGCCTGCCCTGGGGACCCCTGCCAAATCTGGGGAGCCCTGCCTGCCCCAGAGTTTCCTGCTTATTTTGGGGTGCCCTACCTATTTTGGGGTGCCCTGCCTGCCCTGCGGACCTTTGCCTGCCCTGGGACCCACTGCTTGTTTTGGGGTGTCCTGTCCTGAGAACTACTGCCTGCCCCAGGGACCCCTGCTAAATCTGGGGAGCCCTGCCTGTTTTGGGGTGCCCTGCCTGCCCTGGGACCCACTGCTTGTTTTGGGGTGTCCTGTCCTGAGAACTACTGCCTGCCCCAGGGACCCCTGCTAAATCTGGGGAGCCCTGCCTGTTTTGGGGTGCCCTGCCTGCCCTGGGGACCCCTGCCCATTTTGGGGAACCCTGCCTGTTTTGGGGTGCCCTGCCTGTTTTGGGGTGCCCTGCCCATTTTGGGGAGCCCTGCCTGCCCCAGGGTGCCCTGCCTACCCTGGGGTGCCCTGCCCGCCCTGGGGTGCCCTTCCTGTTTCGGGGACCCCTGTGGTGGGTCCCCTGAGCTGCTGCCCCACCACCCAGCACCTTCTCCTCCCCTCCTCTCCCCTCCCTTCCTTCCTCCCCAGGGTGGAAGGAAGGACATCACCCACGAGGAGGGTCCCCATGGGACAAGGACATCACTCATTAGGAGGGTCCCCAGGGTGCAGGGACAGCACCCATGAGTTAATGTCACTGCTGTGCAAGGTCATCACCCACAAGGAGGGTCCCATGGCGCAGGGACACCAACCATGAGGAGGGTCCCCACCACGCAGTGACACCACCCACAAGGAGGGTCCCCCCAGCACAGGGACATCACCCACAAGGAGGATCCCCAGGGTGGAAGGAAGGACATCACCCATGTGGAGGGTCCCCAGGGTGCAGGGA